AAAATTCGATTTTTCCACTGTAACCATAGCAAAATAAAAGTCTTCTGGTACCCTCATTTCTCAAATAAAGTGTACGGAACTTGACGAATGAGCATAAGAAAAGATGTTCTGTCCAATCTTATGACCAGAACTACAAAAAACAAAGCGGACCTTTACAGGTCTTCCGGAAAACCTTTGAAGAACTGCAGGTAAAATCTCCGTATGAGAAATAATTCGGACCTTCCTAAACTGTCCGCCAGGCGAAACTGAGCGGGTTTTGAAAATTTGAAGCGCTTTGGTTGAGAAATGAAGGTGTTAGAAGACTTTTATTTTGCTATGGTTACAGTGGAAAAATCGAATTTTCTGAAAAAGTCGTTTTTGAAGTTTCGCTAATCCCGACAACAAACCGAACATTGTCATGCGATCTAGTGAGTCCGAAAAACGTATGTACCTTGTACTTTTGAGGGTCGCAGACTTCAAGTTTAATCGATAGGTAGATTCCTGAAGATTGTCAGTAGCGCCTGAACCACGGTAGATGGAGACTTGGGACTTGCACTTGGTTATAGAGTGACATCTGTTGTATATCTACATGTGTTTAGAGCAGTACTTTGTTATGTAAAACGCCCGGCTCAAACATTTTGTTTCGAAACGTATACCATGTTAGGCATGTAGGATCTGACTCAGTTTAGCATAGGCTTATGCCTTCGAGTGTCCTCTTTCGTAATCTGAAAAGCCTGAGTCTGTAGGTCATTTCCCTCAAAAGTTATTCGAAAAACAATGGACTGCTGTAATTTAATGTTGTAATTATATTTGTCGTTTCAGAGAAGTATTCTATTCATAATCGTGTGATGTTTGGTGCGGTGGATTATCAAATAAATCAAGCAGTCAAAAATTTAAAACCGCCAGATATTCCTTTGTGTGCCGATGTTCAAACAATGATGAAAATTGCATATATATATGAATCAACGGGAACGTTTAATGAAGCGTTGGTAAAGAATCACGATATAGTGGGAATATTTGTGGAAAAAAATACTCTTTCCATATTAAAAGAAGATCTGTTTAAGTTGTTTCATCAATATGAGAAACCCATAGCACTTGTCGGAGGAGAATTGGATAATCCTCAAATTATAAAAGATATGATTCGTTATGGGGCAGATATCTTATTTTCAGATAGACCAGATGTTTTAAGACAAACTCTAGATAGTGTAGCACAGGAAAAAAAATAGTATAATTTGTAGAAATTTTTCAATTATTGTAAAATAAAATTAAAAAAAATATTTTTTTATGTTTTTATATTTGGTGAAAGTTAAACAAGATCTGTAATAAATATCTTACAATCATCTTGAATTTAATTACCTAAGTCTAATTTAAACATTTGTCTATTTACATTTATTTCAAATAAGAATATAATTAAATGATCAACAGTGTCAATCATCATCATCTCATATCATCATGTTCTTTATTTTTAAAAATTGTTCTCAAAAACAAAGAAAGACAGTTAACAAGTTTGTCAGTTATCAATCAAAATCAATCATTAAACAGTAGTAAACTCGAGTGTCTACAAAAAACGAATTATTTTTCGATATATTTGATTATTTATAATATTTAACTTGTATTATGCATTTTATGACCTTAACAAAAGAATAAACCGTCTAATTTTAGCGTCACATCAAAAATTTAGCTTTTGTTTAAAGAACATGTCACTTTTCTATTATTCTTTTGTAATTAACGTTATCTGGCCATATATTCAAAATAATCGGTTGAAAACATTGTATTTAATGCATAATGATTCATTCCCTCAATCCAGAGATGGACAACTCTGATTTCAATTCCGTTAGCAACTAGTGGTATAACCAGGATTTTCGCAGTAGGTGGATGCTGACTCAAACATTTTTAGAAGCTGACGGAAGTAGTGTGCTTTTGTTGGATAGGAGTTCGTAGAGTAGAAAGAAAAATGACTAGAAATGCTTCCACTTTCACTTCTCAACACTTCTGACTTTCAACAATTCCTCCTAACCTCCTAATCGAGAAAGTATTTCTCATCAGTTGAATGAAGGTCATCCACTTTGTTTCTCAAGTTTTTCGCACGATTTCAAAGACCATGACCAAAGTTCATACATAGAAAGATAGAGAATTTTTCGCACTTCAAAATGATTTAGTTATTGACAAAAACATGCCCATATAGAACAATTGTCAAAATACTCGACATGATTTCATCATATCATGATTTTCACCTGTCGTAAGGTTTTAAAAGAATATTTTCATATATCTGCTCAGAACCGGAATGTTTTATATATCAGAAGATAGAGAATTTTCTGTGCTTCAAAATGAACTACAATATTTTGTTTTAAAAGTTTGCTCTGACAGGTTTATTGGCTGAATACTGGATAGATATCTCGATTTTTACCCATAGTGATATATAAAAATAATCATTGTTTCTTTTACTAATAGAAATTAGGAATAGTTTGTATTTAAGCCATAATACGTTGTTTCAAACCTTTGAAGTTTAATAGGGGAAATACCGAACGATTGGGCAACTACCAAAATCTACAAAAAAGCAGCAAAGGCTTTAGGGCTTTTCGTAAATATAATGCTGTTTGATCAAAAAAGTGTTGTGGAGAGCTCGGAGACGTCTTATTTTTCTCAGAAATGTTTACTGTATTTGCCTAAACTATTGATACAAAATTAGCGATAGAAGCTAGGATACCTGAAAGTATGACTGGCTTTTTCGGAAATTCTAGTTTTTAAACATTTTGAGGAATTTTTTGTATACGTTTTATCGGATAGAAAAATGTTTCAGCGGCTCAGAGCATTCTTTTATATTCTTTAACTGTCATGGTTGACGAAAAAAGTCAGAAAAAGAAAAAGTTCAAACTTGTATAAAAGTCATTCAGGGTCTCGCTATATTTACACCATTGTAGTACTCTTGAACTTTGGTCAAGATCTTTGAAATCTTGCGAAAAACTTGAGGAACAAAGTGGATGGCCTTCGTTCAACTGATGACGAAAAATGATGAGAAATTCTTTTTCGAGGAGATCAGGAGAAATTTTTGAAAGTCAGAAGTGTTGAGAAGTGAAAGTGGAAGCATTTCTGGTCATTTTCGCTAAAAATCATATTGTGCCATTTTTTAGCAGAAACCGTTTCCCATCCGTTAGGCTTTGAAATTAGAGTGATTTTTATGCATCCAAAATTAATTAGTGGGTGGGCTCAACTGTGTACTGCGTGGACTGCACCCACCTCAGTCCACCCGTTGGACGCCACTATTAGCAACCACCGTGACTCTTGGTATAACTCCACTGAACTTTTCTGTGTGTTAGCGTTGGTATCGCCTCCAAACACAGTTTAACTCCGATAAATTTTGCGTAAGTTGAGCGAAAATTCTCTCAATTCCGAAGCTGCCAACTCCAACTTCTGCTGGAGTTGCTCTTCTCTGACTCAATTTTCATTATTTCCATTTTTAAATCAATTTTCATTATCTTTCAATACGCTCATTTTTTATTCACTTAGAATACTATCATTTAATCAAGTTTATTCTGTTATTAAGAATTTTCCAGATCTGTTTTAGAAATAGAGATAAAATCAACATCACATATGGATTGGTTAGACGGTTCCAATTTTGACCGTTTAGTTGAATCGGATTGTCGTTTTTTAAGTATATTCTATATTCGATTAGATGAAATTAGCTATAAGACTTTATCAATAAGAAAAGAATATGAATTTTTATCAACGTTTAATTCTCATTTGTGAGGTAGTAACGGTTGTCCAGTTAAATGTTACAAAATAAACAAATTACAAGTATTTGATTTTCATGAAATAATATAAGTCCGTTAGAGACACATAACATACATGGCATATATCGAGATTAAAACCGTCCTATCTGGCACAAATTTATGTTTCTGTTGTTAGTTTCCCGGAATATTTTGTTTTACATTGTTTCATCATCTAATACAGGAAGTACATCCTAGTAAAAGTCTTAGACACTTCTTAAAATTATCTTACTCAGATCTTATCCTTTAAGATTTTGATAACATAATCTAAAATCTTACCGTTTAAGATCTTAATAAGATTTAATGACTCTGCTTTATTCACCCTTTTGTTTTGCTCTCATTCATCTCTATAAGTGACACCGAAACTATGACTGACTGATTTTACGGTTATTTTTCTTCCAGACTCTGCTAGTATTTGGTCTCTCGAAAGTGTTCAACAACTTTTCAGAGAGAGTACATGCAGGTTAAGGTCCATGGTTGGACACCCGGAAACATGAAATTTCTCTGCATTTTTCAACATTGTTCAACTTTTGCTTTGAATAATTAAAAATTCGAAAATTCTCAGCGAATCTTGAATGAATATTATTAAGAAAACGTTGTCGTTCTTACTATTAAAATCCTAACAGATTCTTATCCAATCTTGAAAAAATCTTAGACAAAATAATCTTAGTAAGATTTCAGCAAAATCTTATAAAATCTTAAAATTTTCGAATCTCACAATCTTAGTAAGATTTGTCTAAGATCTTAGACAAATGTAAGCAAAATCTTACTAAGATCTTAATAAGATTCGAAAATTGGGCAATAAACTTACTCGAATGGGGCAACTTCCATACTTTTGATTGTTATTATTCCACCTTAAAACATTGTAACTTTACTTATGTAATATAAGGATACATTAACGTACCTGGAACTGTGCTTCCTCATCCGGTAGCAATACTTGTATAGTTTTGGACATCAAAATCTTTTGGTTGAAAACAAACTGGCAATATCCATTCATTGAACACAAGTGGACTCTAAAATAATATTTCATATAATACTGATTTTAAATTATTTATAAAATATTTACACTCAGTTTGAGTAAGGCAACATCATTTTTATAAAATGTTCCACTGTATTGAGGATGATTAATAAGTTTTGATATTTGACGTAGTTGAACCCACGTTTCATGATTATTTCAATCGTGCACACCTAATTCAATTGTGTAAAACGATGGGCTGTAAAATAAAGACCAAACAAATGCTGTTAAACGGCTATAGTCTTAGAATAAATCAATGTAAACGTATGCTAAATGCAACTTATTGAGATAATTTTTGAAAAAATTACAAATTTAATAATGACGTTGAGTGTACAGTATTAAATCTTCAAATCAACATCATTGATAGTTTTGTTTTTTGACTTCTGATGGTGCTCTACTCTTACCTCACTGTACAATGTGTTACTGTAATAATCCATTCATTATTGATTAATGATGCACCACATCGGCAGCGTTTATTGTATTGCAATGTAATCTAACAGATAAAACAATATTAGCCTATCGATAAAATCAATATCTTTTCCTCACCATCTATGATCAGTCTAAACAGATAATTAAAGAAGTTAGAATGAACATTTCGAAATCACTAGAAAAAACAAACACTATACAACTTACCGTCGGAATGTGCTTCTTGACCACCGACAATTTTATCGACTTTTGAGCGTTTACCACATTCAGCTTTAATAAATAGTAAAATATAATTATAAAATATTCCATGCTAATAATAATTAAGCAAAATATAATTTTTAATACTTAATTAATGATGCAAGATTGCATGATATCACATCTAAAACCAATTATGGAACTCAATATAGTTTCTCTTTCATTGCAAATTTATTCAGATTGTGCTGGATTTAACAAGAAATTTAAGGCATGAATTCACTCTTTTAAGCAACAATGATTGATAGCGTACCAACAAGCGTTAAACCTAATATAAAACGTATCATTGTATCGTTTTTGTTTTCTTGTATTCATTTGCTTAATTAATCTACTTTGTGCCTCTTTTACTTGTATGTATCATGTTTTTTTGCTGATAACACAATCTGTTAAATTCACTAGAGATGAACGAGTGTACGATTTTTCGAGTACGAGTACGAGTACCGAGTACCGAGTATTTTAGGTCGAGTATGAGTAGGAGTATAAAAAATTTTTTACCCGAGAATCATGGATATTTCAAAGAAAACGAAAGGGCTTAATTTTCAGCAGCGAAGAGTTGTTAGAGATTTGAACAATTGTTCCTAAATCTATTTTTCCTTTGTATCAGCAGCTTTTAAAAGAAATCCTATATTATTTGAGAAATGTATTCAAAATTTCATCAGATTCAAAGGAATCCAAGTACTTGAGTACTTTTTCGAGTAATTACTAAAAAGAGTCTTGAGTATGAGTACGAGTATTGCAAATTTCGTACTCGAGTACTACTCGTACT